GACGAGTCGAGGGGAACGGACGTGGGCTGTGCCACTCGTCGATTGGTCGCCGTGCTCAGCGGGGTTAGAAGCGTTGGTAGCGCCTCGAGAATCCCACCAATCGAGCGCCACTGTCGTGGCTTTTTTATCCTGCTATTTGCGCCGAAGGACGGAGAAGAGCAGAGGTTCCCCCATCTGGCTCTCTCACTCCTTTTGTATCCCTCTCCTTTTCCTTTGCTGAACCGCTCTCCCTATGTGTTCGTCGGCACGGAGAGGACACTCTCGTTTCGGGATCCGTTGAGGTTGCACACGTTTTCACGAACAGTGCCGCCGGTTTTACTGCGACGCGCTCTATTCTACGTTGATCGTACTCGATACCGTGTGTTATCATTCCGGCGAGTTTCCGATTTTTGCGAATAGTCCGTTCGAAAACGTCTGTTTATTATAAAAGCATCGTATGCGATGCCGTGCGGTAGTGTTATGTAGTGTGTGACAGTACGTCGCAAGAGGATACAGTGTTGCCAGATCGTGGGCGCGAATCGACACGGCAAAAGCGGTGCCTTGATCGCTTGAAGCATCGTGATTAAATCACGCGTGTGTTTCTAGAAGGACACATCGATCGATTCGTTTTGTTTGTGATAACAAGTGATAAACGTAACGACGGCATAGTCGATTCTCGAGTTAATCGGGTAATACGCCAGTGACATTTGGTGCGGTGCTATCGACGAAATAGAGTTGGCAACGTTGCATCGACTGGTCTCTCACACAAATATACGCATACACGTACCTAGAAGGGAACTTGGGGTGGCTGGCTAGCAGGCAGGCGGCAGGCAGGCAAGCAGGCAGGCAGCTTTCTTGTTCCGAGGACGGCGCTCCTGGCGCTCCTGGTCGCGCCGTCTCTCTTTTCTACCTCCATTGCGCTTGCTCTTCTCTCCCTCTTCTCCCCACCCTTCTCGTCCTCGGTCACTCAATCACACTCTCCTTCTTTTGCTTTCTCTATCTTTCTCTCTCCGTTGTATGCGCGGCGCACGTACCGTTGAGAGTTTCTCCCTTCCCCTTCTGATACTCTTTCTCTACCGTTACCCCCTCCCCTCCTAACCTCGAGCGGGTCGGGCGAGTCCACTAAGCTTGCGAGGGGAGTTCGGCAGACCTCGGCTCTAGTCGGCCTCGATCCGCAGAATGTGCTAGACGCTGTGAGTCGATCGCTCCAGTTTTTACATATTCGTATATAGACAGACTCAACGCCGTTCACGAGGCTTTAAAACGTCCTACTGCACTTCGTACACGGATCCACGAGTTTCCAGTGCCTATATCGACGTTAGTTTTCACCATCAGTTTCGGACGCACTCGATCAGCGTATATCCGTACGACGGCCATGTTTGGTGTTTACGAGGTGAGGGGGAATTGCTGACGTCACGAACCCCGATCTTGCACGAAGGGAGTAGCAGCACCAGCAGAAGCAGAAAACGTGTGTTGCCGGCCAACACCAGGCACCACTATAAGTCTCGATACCAATTCGGAGACGAGACACACAAGTCAAGCGTACTCGTATTCCTCGACAAATATCGTACGCAGATTTATCCGTAAGGTGAACACACGTAGAAGAAACTCGCGGCGCGCAAACTGTGCCGCTTGAAATTCCCTTCCCGATGGGACGTGCGTGTACGCCGACTTCGCTCGTGTTCGCCGGTCTTGCCGCGACTACTGGCCTTTCAAAAAACATCGGTCGCATTGCCGCCTCGCTGCTGAAATAGCA